CAGAACCAAGACCGTAACACAGAGGCCCCAAATCTTATTTTGCTGGCCCATGCTACCACCTACCAAACCCCGACCAAGTGAGAATTCATTCTGTTGCCCCTGATGAGGAATGTTTTAGAGCAAGAGTGTGTAGGGCAGAGCGGGGCCTTTCACCTCCAGCGGCACCATCATTTCAGTCCCCCCCGAGGCCCCAATCCTGAAAAGACTTATGCACACACTTCACTTTACGCACAGCAGGGAGGATGGTTTTAGCTGGTGCAGGGTGTCAGAGCTCGCTGATTTCAGTCTGCAACGGCCTCTGCACCTAGCTCAGTGCACTGCAGTGGGACTCCTCACAGTGCATACAATGAAGCCCATGCAGCAGTTTTTGCAGGACTGGGTCCCGGACCCCGGATGTCAATGGCAGAGTTCCCATTCACTTCAGTAGGAGCAGGCCTTTAGCGACTAATCCAGGCATCCTATTCCCCGATCAACCCCATTGCCTGTCTTAGCCTATTCAAGTGTCCTCAACCCCTCCCCTAATTTTTATACAGCTAATATTCTCATTTTCTGAAAAGGGAGAGATTGTTTCCCCATGCAGTTTCACACTTCTTGTGGCGATCGCACCTGCTTACCTTGGGCTGGACCACAGAGGAAAATAGACTGGAGGAAGTAAGTTATAAAGCCACGATGGGTGGGATTTTCCCCACCGCAGCATATGCTTGCTGGTCAGCGTCTCTCTGCCTCCCACAGGCCAAACCATGGAAGATGTAGGGTCCTGTGTCTGAAGGGGCTCTAAATAAGACCCATTCCCCTGCTGACATTCATAACCCCATTTAGCACTTACTTAACGCCGCCTCCTGTGTCCGGGACTGTCACTTACAGGCAGGGGTGAAAGTAACTTAACAGACTTACCGGTACGCAGGTCCTGGGCAAGGGCGGGGGGGCGGCTCTGGGCTGCCCCTTCTTCCTCCCCCCCACCCCAATAAGTGGCCCTGCGGGTACGGTTGTCTGTGTACCGGCGGCCACTTTTTTACCAGTATGCCATACTGGCTTCCTTTCACCTCTGCTTACAGGTCAAGGCAACAGCGTTAAATTAGGGATGGGGGCTATTTAAGGGCTTCATGTAAGTTACACATGCACTTACCCTCCCTTGCACTTCAGGAGATCAGGGTCAGTAGATCTAGGGGAGGCTAAGGGCTCTATCCTGTAAAGGCGATGAGCCCTCTGGCCCCAGTCCAGCAAGCCCCCTAACCAAATGCCTAACCTTACACATTGAAGTCAGCGGGTCACTCAAAGTCAGGTTTGTGGGACGTTCATACTACCTGTTCCACTGATACAGAAACCTCCTTCTCCAGGGCTACCGAACGCCTCTCCGTGGTTCTAAATTCCAGGCTATTGACATGTTCCCATTTTATCCCACACTTCCCCAACAAGCTCTGCAATCCATTAACCCGTCACCCACCACCCAGCTCCTGGTATTTGTGGACCACCAGGCCACAAAGTAATAGAAGTGGCTGCAATGGCGGAGGGCTCAGTCCTGTTACAACTAGCTAAGAGGCCAAAGACACATGGAGAAGTCAGGGGGATGTTCTCACTTGACTCGGCAGAGGAACTTTGGCTTTTAACCTTCGCGAGGAGGGAAGATGTGCACTTGCAAACCCTCACCTTACCAGCAGAGTCGCTTTCACCCAGAGGATCTCTCACTGCTGATTAGTCCTTTTAAGGAGTCGTTCAGAAGCTTCTATTTCCTCTCCGTTGACAGTGGATCAGGCCATGATGACATTACAAAGTTCTGTGTTTCTGCGTTTGGTGAGCGTTGAGGATTACAGTCGTTTTTAGGGTTGTCTACACATGAAAGTTCATCTGGAATAAGAGAGGGTGTGAATTTAAAACACTTTAGTTTAATGCACTTCCTAAATGGATTAAGATAACCAGGAATAAGACTCTCTTATTCTGGAATAAGAGCAGCCGTACATGGAGTTAATCAGGAACAGCTATTCCAGAATAACTCGCCATGTAGACAAGCTTCTCAGGGTGATGGATGCATGAACCTTACGAGAGCAAATGCTAGGGCGATCTTTGGCACCCGCCTACATTGGCTCTCTAGATACTGACTGGCTGTAGGGGCACTCCGTGTTGATGGTGGGGGTGGGGGCGGGGGACAAGGCAGAGAACAGAGCCCCCTCTGCGGGGTACGACTCACCCAAGGAAGTGAATGTTGCTGCCTCGCTCTGGGTACAGCCCGTGAAGAAAGGTCTCGGGCAGCAGCTGTCACCGGGCTCGGGGGTTTACACTGACGCTGGCACAGCTCCGTAGTTTCACTGCTGCATTTTTAGCCATTGCTAAATCTGTCGTGTTCTCACTGAGGATTTCTGTTTCGTGGGCAGAGGGCGAGGTTCTGCTATTTAGTGCTGTTGGTCCTGTCGAAGGATCCCAGGGCACTTTGCTACAGTCGAGGTGTTCGGCCTGGGGCTAAATCCAGGTGTGGGTGAATTACATTGGTGCCCTGCATTCCCCTCCAGTTTAATTAGATTCAGTGGCGGCGTCCTCGCCCCTAACCACTGTTTACTGGTGCAGAGTGGCCGTTACACAACTGGCCCATTCCACCCCAGAGGAGGCTGCAAAATGCCGACAAACTTAGAAAAGTATGTTGGGATCGTACGTCTGCAGTGGCCCCTCTGCACCCCAGTCATGAGAGACGAAATCAGGCTACCAATGAAAATGCTACAGGGGGGCAGATGGGGAAAATGGAGCATCCAGCAATCCATGGAAGTGTTTTACCCCGATGCCAGAGGGTGCGTGCACCCAGTGGGGTGATACTAGCCAGCCCGCCTCATGGAGCAGGGACGGGCTGTGAACAGCCATTTAGAAAAGCCATTTCTACTAGCACAAACCAGAGCCCAGAGACACAAGCGAACCACTGACCCAGGGATGGGTGCAAACAGTGTGTGTGTGCATGTGTGTGTGGGTGGGGGCGGGGGGAGGGCAGAGTACAGGGCCCAAATGGGAACTGGTTCCCTTTACTTTACTTTGCTGTCCCCTTAATGCTACTCCAAACGCTCTCCCTGCTGGTGGACGTTCAGATGAGCTTAGATTTCCGGCTGACCGACCAGGCTGGGGGGGAATTGGGGAGAGACATTTTTACAATGGGGCAGGGACTTGAGGAAACTTGACTGGAAAGGGGAGGAGCTGGAGAGTGCTGGCAGGGGGGAGGAGCCAGCCAGAGAGTATGGGGACACAGGAAAGAGAACAGGGATGGGAGGATGTAGGGATACCGGGGAGGGGGGGGGGGCGACGTGCAGAGGGAGGAGGGGCATG